GCAACTCTTTTTTTAAAGCAGGAGCTAACTTAACTAAAAGACAGACTTATAAAAGAGCTGGTTATAAAGCTACAAAATGATTAGGTAGAAATAACTCATTAGCACTGATAAAATGCCAAGCTATACTTGAAGATACGGGAAAAAAAAAGAATCAGCAATAGTCTTGCAGCCAATTGGTAGAGCTCTTGGCTTAATTTATTATGTATTAAAATTTTAATATTTTTATGTATTAAAACATTTTATTTTAAGACTAAATTATGACCATTATATTTATATAAATATGTTTTAACTTGTAAATATAATTTGTAACAATTTTGTGACATTACTCTTTCAGAAAAAAATCTGACTTGTATTGCAGTAAGGTTTGGGGATCAGATCAGGCTCTGGACAACACAAGGACAGCCTTCTCCAAATCTAATTATTAATGGCATTATTGAATTCAACCAGATGTTTCACATGGATAAAATTAAGTACACGAATAAATCAAGATCCAAGCGCACGCTTAGATTTGACAGAAGATAAGGAAAGGTGAAACAAAAAGTAATGAAGACAGTTAATGAAAAACTGTATCTCCCTGGTTGTTAATATAACTTGAAATTAAAAATTCAAAATGTAATAGGCCTGTTAAATGATCACTCTGCTGACAGACAAATGAGCAGGATGTTTCACACATCATACTGCCTACTAGCTTCCATCTGTCCAAGTTTTAGCCAGCCTGAGTAGTAAACCTTTTACAGCTTCCCAAAGGTAATTACATAAGAGATAAATATACTCTCAGTGTACAAAATATAGCTAATGAGCTACATCTCTATTAACAATGTGAGGACTTCAAGGGTTATCCTTATGCAAATAAGTGAAAGGTAGTGTGCACGATTTAAAATACCGTACACACTTATCTTCTCACAACTTTTAAAATTGCAAGATCATTTGCATATAATCAGCTGCAAATCAGACACTAAACAAGAAAAAAAAAAGCTAGTATTTTAAGAAAAGGAGGAAGACATTAACAAATGAAACTATTTCTAACCAGCAAAAAATATTTTTAAAGAAACATTTTAGCCATAAGTAAGTTATTCCTACAAAAGAATTAAACTGCTAGAAACAGGAATTTCTATTTAAACATCAATCTCAGCCAATAATTACAATTGTACTTCTATAATAACTCATCTAAATAGAGTCAAGAATTAACTCCAAGTGTCTCTGGTGTATTGCTGTTGGTGTAAGTTTACCTGGAAACAGACTGGGATGATGGCTGGCTTTGGATAAAGGTGGCATAGAGAAAAATGTCGAGCATGCAGTATGCACTCCCTCTACTGGGCACTGAAATTATGCCAAGCAAGAGAATTCAGAGAAGGAAAGGGCTATGTCCGAGCATCCAGGTACCGTGAAATAAAAGTCCTTTTACAGCTTCTACCCTCTTCCCCTAGATTCAGCTAAGCCTCAGATTCACAGAAAAATGGATTTCAAAACTGGTTTAGACTCTCCAAATACATTTCCTATCAGAAACCAACACCTGATTCGCACCCCAAACAAGTATTTCAGTGAACATAACTTGTGTAAGTGCATAACAACTCATTTGCCTTTGACCACCACAGTCAGACTGTCATTTTTTGTCCATCCCCTACCTCTTTGAAAAAAATAACAGCTCAGGAAGAGAAGTCTTGATGACTTCTGATCTGCTGGGGGCACAGCAATGGGAAGAAGGAACGCATGGTCTGGGCAGCTGGGGTGTATTAACATTTACAAAAGCTGCTGCAAGGGATTTGTTTCCAGATAGTCAAAGGATAACCTCCGTCGTTCTTCTCCCTCTTCTCCCACAGCTCCTGAGAGGCAAGAGCAGAATGGTGCCGCAGCCTACTTGTGTTGGCAGGGTTGGATACATAAAAATGACAGCTCTCCGATGGTTTGAGCTCTTCACTATCACGGAGGAGAAAACAAAGAGGTGGCTGTATCTCATGCCACTATAAACCAGTTTAAGTCAAAGTGTTTCACTGTGTAAAGTTCTGTGCTTTCCTTCAAGTGACTTTGTATAAGAGAAGTTCCGTAAATCCACACACACAAGTTTCCCTGTAGTTTGCAATGCAGTGCGGCTTTTACATTTTTCAGTAAAGATAAAGGCAAAAAAACTTCAGAGAAAATAGTTTGTGCTAATTTTCTAACATGCTCTGATTCCCTAAGGATGCTACATTGCAGACTAGTGCTCTGTGATCTGGAAAATGAAGCAAGAAACAATGGAAAGCATGGAGGTAAGAGTGAGGATTACCAAAAGCAGACACCTTCCTGCACCAACAAAATGATTCTTCTCTGAAGGCAGGCCAGGTAACCGCCAACTTCTTCCTCCCAACGTAATTCACATGCAGCTACATTGTTGGTATATTCAGATTGAACCGCAGCGTCAAGAATTACTCCAAATATATACACCTTATTTGCATCTCAGCCACATGCATGAATAACTGCTCAGCTAAACAGTACCAATGACACATGGCAATGGTAAGGGACTCCAGGACCTTCCCTCTTTTAAGTGGCAATTTGAATCTCTGCAGGATTGAGAGGTAGAGTTTATAGTGACAAATCTCCAGTTTCACTGTGCCTCACTAAACCCTTTATCAACTTTCTTGATCTCAGTTTGAGGATGGGTAAAGCCCTTACTCCCCCCATCCCCGGACAGAACAGAAACAAAGCACAGAATAGAACAGATGAAAAGGGGACAATCAGATACCACAGAAGCACGGAGAATGAGCACAAAGGAAAAACAGAAAGTCTGAGGACACTGGGTAAGCCCAAGTCCCCAGCCAAGTTTCCATGTCCCTATCGTTCTGTTTTGTATTTGCTGATAAAATAAAACCACTTGCTCCCTGAAGGTAAGGCTTGCCTGTGATGCAGGACCATAATTACACTCGAAATGAGCATGTACGCAAACAATTCACCTTTACTTTCTCCAGCTAACAATATAGGTACCTCAGATTGCAGTCACTTGTTGCCAGGAAAACTGCTATCATATCCAAATGTAGAGATGTCACAGACCAACTACAAACCAGACAATTTACACAGGACCCTCTGCACTCAGACACTTTATTTACATTCTCTCTCTCTGCTTACTAAACGCTCCCCTTCATTTCTACGTGTGCTCACCTCTACACGTCAGCAGGTACAGCGCTCACTGCCCCCAGGTGCTAACCACCACCAGCTGTAACGCACCGCGCTCTGTTGGGACAGGGGGGCCGTCAGCCGGTGCTCTGGAGGACAGGCTATCCCTACTTATTTTGGATCTAAAGATACACAAGAGAGCACAACTTCGGCATGGCAAGAACTATAGTTCCAATGGCACAAGGATGTACAGACAGAAGCAACAACGCAACACAAGCGGCAATGCTGAATTAAACAGGAGCTGTGTGTAGTGTTTCATATGCTGACATGTAAATATTTGACAGATGGGGATTTAATAATCACGGTCTAAGAGATGCTGTTTATTTTGTTCTATCAGACTCTTACTCTACCGTGTTTTTACGTTTCAACCAAGTCATTTGACACACGAATAGAAGATAATTTATACCTTTTCCTTCTGCACTACAAAGCTTTCTATGTTCAGGTTATAAATTTAAAGTAACTCAGCACTAACACTAAATTTGGGTATTTTTCCACTGGATAAAAACTCTAGGAGTAATTATATATTGTTTTCAATGCTTAAGTTAATACCTCAACCTGCATTGCTTCATTTTGAATGTATTCTTTGTGAGCACTGCTATGTATTTTCCTTTTTTTTTTTTTTTTCTCCTTCTAACGACAGAATTTATTAGCTTTCAAACCTTATATAGATAGCACTGATCAATCTCCAGAAGTGGTAACAATACCACTTTAAATACATACACATGCACGCACACACACATGAAAAATCAAGGCTTGAATGTCCTTTATATCTTGCAAGAAATATAGCAACCAATATTCCATGCAGAGGTGCAGCAAATGAAGTCCTGTCAAGCAAATGGCAGGAATGACAGCAGATGTCTGGATTCCTTCATAGCTGGTTGCATAAAGGTAGCACACATATTTCACTGGAGAAAAAAACCTCTGACAAGACAGTCTTTCAGTACTTTTCATTCAGAGTTGGCATTTTTGACTGGTGTGGTACATCAGTAGGTATTAAGGTGATGAACCAGATTAATCTTGATAAAGCTTCATTTGCACAACGGAAGCAAAGTCTACAACACTCAGTCACGGCTAAACGAGGCTACCACAATCTAGTCCAAGATATAATGTCCAGATCCAATTCTTACAATCCAGTCATAAACCAGACTTTACCCTGGCCCCTGACCCAAACCACTTACTTTCATGTCAAGCTATACAGTAATTTTGTTTGATTGCAACCAACAGAAATGAGTATTACACAGCTCTGCTTTTTAGCTACATAAACAAGCCATAGACTCCTTTTTGGATATGAATAAAGTATTTGATCTGTCAGCCTCCATTTATTCACAAGTTTCACCTATTTCACAGAAACTGTCTTTGTGAAATATATTTTGACACTTTAAAGCTCCATATAACAACAAATAATTTTAAGATATCCTCAATCACATACATGCTCACTAGAGAGAGTAAATGCTCCACAGCAGAGACACGATTTTCCCAAATTGCGAGACACTAGTATAGTTCAGCAAGTTGTAAAGGAACATGAGTAATACAGTGCTTACTGAGAAATATCCACAAAAGAAGCTGAGAACGTAGTGTTACACATGAAGAAACTAAGAGTAAATAAAATCTGAACTTAACCACTTCCCTATCCTAAACAACAGTGCTGCTTTACATGGTTTTGCCTAATAAGCATGCCCCTGGCAGGTGTTTAGTGCAACTTCCTTGAGTGAAGCTACAACCAGCTGAATTAGTGTACTTCTCAATAAAACATGTGTTGAAAAGTTTCCCAGATTAAGGGTTAATAGAAAGTGAATTTTTTGCATACAAGGTAAGCATTAACTAATGGTCCCTCTAGCAAAACAGAAACTCACCACTTTTCTTTTTCTCGCTTTAAAGGAAATGTTCATTTCCTTGTATTTCTTCATAGCAGTCTCCAATTTATTCTTGAGATCAATGGCACATCTTAGCCGATCATCATTTATTCCTGCTCTGGTAAATAACTGCAAAGCAAGAAACAAACATTCTTATTCCTTTTTCTAGACATCCGAGCCAAAAACCATTTTCAGTTTTCCTTCGTAATTAAGCAACATTGTCACAAATGCCTTTCTTTTACAAGTAACAATTAGTGAAGCCACTTCTTTTCCTATCTAGAATATAAAAGCTAACAGCAACTACTAAAGACAAAGAATGAACAGCTGGTATAAACATCTCCTGAGAGTGTCCTTCTGTATGCCAAATTCCATGCGTGAGGCTCCTGAGCAGTAGTATCAACTGACAGAAAGGACATACTGTTTTTCTGATACAGACATGTAACAAAAACAAGCTGTGTTTTACTTTAATCCATTGCAAAGAAACCCCATTTTACTATATCTTCAAAAAAAAAAAAAAGTATGATTGTAGGTAGCATACCCAATGCTGAGAGCCATCAAACAAGTCATATAGCTCCTGTAGTCTCCTTTTGTCCAACCCTACTGAACTAGAAATCTTTTCTATTTGCACCAATGTTTCTTCAACCTTAATTTCCTTTTTGCTCACTCTCCCTCAAGATGTACTGTACCCCCATCCTTGCTTCTCCATCTTTTTATAAAAAAAAAAAGAAAAAAGAAAAAAAAAAAGAAGAAAAAAGGTCTTTTTATCCCACCTGAATCCAGGACTGCACAGAAGGCCAAAACTTATTTCTGAGGAGTTTGTGAGCATCAGTGACAGTGTTTATTACGGCAGTATTATCTTCATTCTCATGCACTTTTATATCTGCTCAAAACAGGGGAAAAAAAAAAAAAAAAAAAGAGTTAGTGTGCAATGTTTGCAGTATCTTCCCTACAGGAGCTAAAGAAGCTAAGCAGAAGTAGACATGAACCTTTCTAAAATATCTTATCACTTCAGGGAGAGTTACAAACATCAGAATGTTTCTCTGTTCAGTACTAATTATTCTACTATTACCCACATGTTCAAAAAAATCAGAGGAAAAGCTTTCAGTCCAGTGATGACAGAGTTGTTAAGTCATCACTACTGAGGAATCACTAAATAAACCACAGACAATTGCAGTCTTACTATTTACATCTTGTCCTAAGTTCCAATCAATGGACTGGGCTTTATTGCACCAGTTTCTGCACATTCAATATAAAAAAAAAAAAATCCCTGCTCCAGTGGCAATAGGGACTTGATTGTCAAAGAAGCCAGGTATGCCACCACTCAAGTAAGAAAATGTACTTTTCACCCATTACGTCATTCATAAGCCCCACAGATACATTTCCAATTCTCTTGTCTGCAAGCACAGAAGTAGATTCCTGTCTTACTGGCTGTTTGCACATGAAATTCCATTAGGACAGTATTTGTAAGACACTTCGCTTCGACTACCAAAACACAAACCACCCTAATTTTACTAGAGGCAATTTGTATTAGCGAAGTTATATAAAAAAAGGTATAATCATAACCCTTAAGACTTCCTAGCAAAACTCTACTTACTACTTCTTGCAAGTAGTCAGTAGCAAGGGGGAAAAAAAGTTTACAAAACAGCCAATTGTGAGATTTTTAAATTAGTAACTTATACCCCAGCTATAGAGAGAAAGAGGTAAATCATGAAGCATATGGAAAATAAAATTATATACTGTAAACAGGTTGTGATTTTTTTTTTTAAAGACAGGAAACTCATCTTATTCCAGGTACTATGAAGTGCTGCAATATGGTTACAACAACCAATACAAAAGTTCAGTCTTAGAAGGTAATTAATAAAATCTGTAAATCACATACAAGGACACCCAAACCTAAGAATGGTTACTAGATGAACCAGAAACAGAAAAGAACTCCAAAATAAATGGTGTCCAGGAACCCCAAGCATTTAAGACATAGAAAAAACACCCCACAACTACAAAGCACTTCAGACAAAGACTGTCTCCAGCTATATGTGAAAAAATTTTCCAGGTACCTGTGGAGATTTCAAGGTCTAGGGTATACTTATGTGAAATAAGCCCATGGTTCCTAACAAAAGTCTGGTAATCATCATCACTGAGAGCAGGGACACCAGACTGAACTTCCAAGCATGTGTCTCCATCTAATTCTTTCTGCTCAGGCTTCTCCCATTTCTCATCTAACTCATTGTTTTTATCAGTTCTAACACACTGAGAAACAGAAAGAATGTCCTTGCTGCAGCACGGCTGCTCATCATCCATGCATCCAAAATAGGGCTGGTTAACTTCCATCTGGGAGGCCAGGGGGGATGCAGGTCTGTCCTCATTAGCAGTCATTTGCTTGTTGGGTTCCAGTTCCGTATTATTCACAGTGAAGTCGAAAGGATCTGGCATCAGAAGCCGGAAACAGTTTTCCATCTCTGTCAGTGTGTCAGCAACCTCTTGGGACATTTCTAACAAGAGACAATTGTTTTAGAAGATTGTTAAAGACTGTAAAATGCTAATGTCTCCAGAGCAGGCATAGATTTACAAAACAAATATGACTGCCAAAGGGATAATCTATTTATCCAGCAATCAGTGATAATTTATCCATACAGATCTCTCTCCACTACAGAAATTGTCCTTATAAAAGTGACAATACTTTTCTTAAGCAGGACATGTAGAATTTCCTGAGCAAGGAATTTAGAATCAGTGTTCCTCCTTTCCCTATCCTCTCTAAAATTTCACTAGGCAAAGATGACAAATACTTCACAGAATCTGAAGGAGAACAAGGTTCAATGAGGATATTCTTAGTGATGTTGGTGGGTATTCATTCTACAGCCGTGAATGTTATAGTTGCTTGCAGGTGTAGCCATGAACATATGCTATTGCTCAAAAAGATGCTACCAATAAAAGTGACTTTAAGAAGGATAAATCTCTTTAAAATTCCACCCTCGTGCATGAAAATGTTTCCAGCCTGCAGAATAAATGCAGACACAAATGCACGCATTGCATATACTAAAGTAATTTAATTAAATAACCCTTTGTAACTGCAACATAATATACTTACTATCTCTGTTGTTCTTTCATATTACAGAAATATGTTTGCTGAATACATATTGCTTAGAGATTCAGCCCCCAGTTAAGACATGGTTTTTTAGCAGCAGTATGATACTTTTCATAGATATCCTACATTGCATCCAGGATTCCTACGCTTCTGGAACATGATGACTGTATATACAATATAATTAAGGTCATCAGCCAACAAGGTGTTGAAAAGTCTGTGCCTAGTCATAGACACAGAAATTAAGCCACTAGCTCTGAAAAGTCTCATGATATGCCTGCTTGAGTTTATGCATTCATACGTTACTGAATTACAGACCAGACCTTGCTAAATTTGTGGGGTTTTGGTTTTTTTTGTTTGTTTTGGTTTGTTTTTTTTTTTAAGATCTCTTCTCACTACCTGAGCTCACAGGACTGTCACTTGTTCATCCTGATATTCTTTAGGTGAGAGACACAGAGGCTCAGGCTCTAACAAATGTACTATTCCCGCCCTCTGTGGTCAGCTATTAATTGGATAGCCATTGTCTTAGAGTTTGTTTTACATAAACTTAAAAAAGATTGCTTTAAAAACGAACAAAAAACCCCAAACACCAAAAGAACCAAAGCAACTCACCTTCCATTTCTTTTTCAGCCCTTTTGGCTTTTTCTTTGTAAATGTTTTCCAATCGTTTTTTCTTCTCCTCGTCTCTCCTCCTTTCAGCCACGGTTCTGGCATGCACATCTTGAAAATCCACCTAAAGAGGAAATGAAGAAAAAGTATAACATTCCTTGTAAGAAATATATAGAAAATCCATTTCCTAAGATCCTTATCTGTGGTGAAAAATCCTCTAACAACAGTGATCAGCCAGCAGCTCAGCAGTACTTCCTTTTATCTCTTCTCCTGGAATCAATAACTACAGTAATTCTGAACAGAGTTTTTACTTCTACTAATAAGGGACTGCTGAGAATCAATGGCTTTCAGAAAGGAATCATAAGGTAGAGAAACAAAACGCTTAGATTTCCACATCTAAATTGCAGGAATAAACTAGGTTTGGGAGACCTCCGTCACAGCATTGGAGACATGGGGTTAGGGGGAATGGGCAGGAAGACACTACACAGGGTAAGTATTCAAATTACACGAAAACGTCACACTAGGTCCACTATTAGTAAAAGAAATTTAGGAAAATTAGTAAGTGCTATTACCACAAGTATATATATCACTTACTGAAGAACTTTATAAGCAAGGAAAGTAGAAGAGAAGACATTCAAATTCATTAAAAAAAGACCAAATTTTGGATTTTACAATTATATTTGTTGGATTTGGGGATTGAGGGCAAGGTTATCATTCAGTTTCACTTCACTTTCTTATGACTGAAATATAAACATAAATCTGACTGATTCAAAACACTTTCTTAAAATATTTGCAAGGGTTTTTTTTTTTTTAGTTTGTTCTTAGAAGGGCTTGAAAATGCAAATATTTTCCACTTCTACTTTAAGGAAAGGAGTCTTGATTGTGTTATTGCATAAGGAAACCCCTTCAAAAAAGAAAAACACAGTATTTCCTTTTGATTGGTACCATGTAACTTTCAACAACTTCAATACAGATTACGTTGAGTGCTGAGCAAGCCCGTACTTTGCTGCTAGTAAAGTCCGCAGACTCTCTGGTGCTATGTCTACATTACAAGCACCCACTGTATGTTTGTCGTTATTGCCAGTGCTAGGTGATAAAGCTTGTCAACATACAGTAATGGTTCCCAGATACTGACACCCTACACCAACGTTTTGGAGCCACACAAGAGTAAAACAGTGAAGTTGAATCACACTTACGAGGCAGAAGCCCACACAACATCGAAAATCACTCTACACAGGAAAACAAGTCTCACTTTCTATCTAGTCCCAAAAGATCTCTCCTGTCATAGGTACATACATGGACTTACAAGCCATGGGTCAAGCAAACCAAGCAGTACATCCTACAACTGAAGTTTGCAGATTTTTTGTACAATCAAGAATTTTGTTAGTCTCTCATCTCGAAATGACAGAAACTTTCTCATATTTGTTCTGCATGAAGCAAGTAGGTAACTCCATTAAACACTATGGAAGTTAAAAGACAAACGCTTGTACTTGGGCTTAACTATGTGCTAAAGTGTCTTGCTATGTAAATGTTCCTACTGTTGAATAATCCCCACAGCGTGCAACAGGCCTTAAGATTTTTGCAAGTATTATTCATGCAAACACTTTAAAGACAAACGTTTTTTATATAAAAACCTCTAGCAGCAAAAGGGTATTTCAGCTTTCACGGAAACTGGCATGGAGAGTCTCCACTAGTTTAGGAAGAGGGGCACACTTACCAAGCTCTTTTTTTATTGGGGAAACTGAGGGCAGAGGGAAGGTAGGAAAAGAGCTAGCTTCACAACCTATAGCAGCACATGGATCACCAGGGTGAGTTTTTTGGTTTTCAGGATCTGCTTTTTCTACCAAGTTTGCATAGCTCTCCACCCAGTAGCAGAACAGATGCTCCCAGAGCAACATCACCCTCAACAACAGAGCAAGGACACAGAACCCGGGAACTACAGCTCCCATTTCTAGGCTGCCAGATGTCACTTGCCCAAAAAAACAGAGACTAGAGCTTCCTAAATCACAACTTCTGCCTCATACCAGAATACCTAAACTGGAGTCATTTGCCATTCTTTCCCCTTCTCTGTCCCAAAAGGACCAGTCACATGCTGCTCTGCTGTGTAGTTTCATACTTCAGCACTTGGCCAGATGTTCCTCTTACAACATCTGCCAATTCATCATGGTTTGCCACTGGTAACGAGAGCGTGCCTCACATACTAGATACCTACCACCAACTAAGTCGACAGCACGCGCAAAGCTTCGAGCTGCCCAAAACAGGGCGAACCAGCCCTTTACAGGAGCCTCACGAGGTCAGAATAACTCAGGGCCCGAGTTACAGTTGTGCACATGGACTCACTCGCTACCTGGGGTCAGCACTAACTCAAAAACGTGGTCAGAAAACATCTAACCTCATTTATGGACTGAGACCAGAGCTGTTCTGCCTCTGTATTGGTACCGGCTACGTGAAGCCTTGTACCATTGCTCTGCAATTATGGAACTGGACGTGACGGGTTGCAAACAATTGTTCTTGATTTAAAGGGTGTAAGTAGTGGGCCTAGACAACTACTGCAACTTTTGGGAAAATACTGAAGTACAGCAGTTAGATACTCTATATTGAGCTGCTTAAAATCCTGTTCACTCCATAACTGCAGCTCACTCTCTAATTCCATCCATGCATTCCTCAAATGCAAAGATACTATAACATGACTCAGTTGCCTAAATATGCAAACATTTGGAAATATTTAAAACTTCGCCCCCCCTTCTTCTTTTTTTAAACTTTGAGACAGGAGTTTGAAAACAATTACTGTCAGATATACTGAAATATTATTTGTTCTTCAAGTCAAACATGTATATAGGTACCTACCAATGTGGACCTACTAACATTAAAACGGGGGTAGCTCTAGGTTTACACCCTAAAAGGGCAGCAGTTGTCATCTTCTGACCAACTGTTTATAAGGTGATTTTGGTGATTAAAAAAGAAAAAAAAAAAATCAACAGCCACAAACCCCAGACACAGCTAACACTCCTCTCAAGTTGTCCTATATTACAGTGCCAGACCTGTAATACAGAACAGCCGATGTACTTTACTTCTAGAAGCAGAAATGTCCCCTCAAATCTTTTGGTTGCTTCTCACACTTCAAGTATTGAGCTGGCAAAAGGCTGGTTAAGTTAGTTGGCTCATCTCAACTCTTTAAGTACAGGAGTTATCAAACTACATAAGATTGTTTCTATTGGTACTCATGTTTCTAGAGGTACTTAAATTCAGCTGCTCCAGAACAGAGAACAGCCAACCTTGCTGGGTAGCTTAGTATTGCAAATATACAGAGTGATCACCCAGTTGTAACCGGGGAGCAGCCATTAACCACAGAAGCCCAGAGAAAGAGAAGCATGCCAAACTTCAGCAGACTTGCCATACACTTGCATGTTCAACCTTCTAAATCTGTATTATGTGTTAGAGCTCCTCCTCCTCAGTCTTGCATTTCTCCTTGTTGCTTTTGTTCAGTTTTTTTTCTTTCTTAAACAAGACAGTAAGGGAGGATTCAAAGACAATCACCTTTTGTGAGCAGATGCCAAAAATGGTATAGAAAAAGAACACGGTACAATAAATAATACAAGTAGGGTACACTATTAGCTTAGTAAGGAACGGGAACAACAGAAACACATCATGTATCAGAAACGGTTTTGATCTACTGTTCGAAACACTGAACATCTGTCTTGCTGAAGAGAAAGAGAATCAACGTATTTATTGAAAGCCTGATATTATCATTATTGATAGTGTGAATTCTAGAAAAGTGTTCTCAATTTCACTGTTTGCACCTCAGAATAGATACTAAAGGAGAAGAATGTTCAAAACAGTCACTTGAAGCCTACAAGGGTGAGCTAAAAGCCAAGTGTTTACATACAAGAAAGTCCTCTTGAATAAAACTTCTTGTATGACATACAGGAACACTGCAGCTGAGGGGGGCGAGCACCTACACTTACTGTCATTGTCCTACAGCGAAAGGACACTAGAACCAGACAGCTCAGTACAGAAATCGGGCTAGTTTAAACCTTCATAGAAAAACTTACTAGCTGATTATCCTCAGTTTAAGGTGTAACCATTATTTCCTTTCTAAAAAGGCCAGACTTTGGGGCTTCAGGCAGGAATCAGTGGGTGAAAGCCTATTGGTGAGGAATACTTTTTGCACCCTGAGAAAAAGCTAGTTGAGCCCAGCTCCGAGTACAAGCCTGGGGTTTTTAAAGCTTTACAATACTGCAAGATGAACAAAAACTTTTGGATTTCTTTTTCAAAGACGATGCTCAACAGGACGCCTCCTGGAAACAACGTCATTTCCAACAGCTTTTATTTTACATTTGTTGGTTTCCTCGCTTTAAACATCTCCTAGCAATCACCACCTAAAAACACACACAGAAGTAAAAACGCGGAGTACCTTCTTATTCTGCTTTAAGAAGTGGTATCCCAGAGCGAGCTTCTTGTAGGCCTCTCCGTACTTCTCATGCCAGTCTTGCACTGACTTAATGGCTGCTTTCCTCAGTTTCTGTGCCACCTCTCTGGGTGGGGGAAGAGGCTGCTCGTGGTCTATCCCCACCGTGAGCTCCAGGAACTCTTGGAATTTGGAAATGGTTAGCGTCCGGAATGAATGGGATCGGGCGAACAACTCCTGCACGATCTGGAAAGCCGAGAAGCGCATCTCGGCGTGCTGCTCCTTCAGCCGCGTCATCAGCAGGTGGTAGGCATGGCCGAGATGCTCCTCTGAAGACCTGAGAAGGGAGAAGTAAGCGAAAGAAGGGAGGGGGAGTTATTTAATAAGAGGTTCAGAACGTAAAAACACAGCTCTAAAAACAATTTTTAAGTTTTCAAGCAGCAGCCTCCGCGCTGGCAGCAAGCGGTGCCCGGCGGGAAGAGCAGGCCCCAGGGCGGCCCTCGGGG